GTATACATATCTTCTGCGATAAATGGTCTACACAAGCGATAAAAAAAAGGCCGAAAAATTGGCGATTATCGTTCGTCAAAACAGGCATGTTTGTACAAGCTCAGCTTATCTTCAAATAATTTGGCACCGATTTTCTATCATATCACTTTTTTTTCACCAACTTCGATTTTCGATTTTCCTTCCCCTAAATTGCCCAAATTCTTCCATATACTAAAACACTTATTAATAACCACCGCGATTTTCTAACGTCTTGAAAATTGCACTTTTCGGGTACTCTCTGTGTGATCTAGCCTAACAGTCGACGACCTTTGGAAACTTCGACTTTGTAGCTGAAGAAACTTATCGGTGCATACCATTTCTGTAAGCATATTCACGGTTGGGTGAACGGAGGATTTGGATTTGGTCGTGGTCTGTCGGTAACTTTCCGTTAATTTCAAGTTTAGATTCCCTGATTTACCCTATAGTTTTTCATTATAAAGGAACCTAAAGTGGTAAGTCGCCTTGAAATAGCAGACGGATTTTTATTAAGCTTGCAATTTGCATTGACTGCCCCGAGGCGGCCATTTTCATGCCATTGTTTTCTTCTACTATTTCATGCATCAACTTATGTTCATCTGGTGTAATATTAATCGGCACGCGTCAGTATTTCTATGTATGTATGTAATATGTACATATCTAATCGTAATGATTAGCTGGTAAGAAAATCCTATTCACATATAATTAGCACATCGACTGGATAAAACGATATTAAATATGTACATACATACATATGTAGTGCTAACATAATCGTTACAACAATATTATATTTATTTCCAATAACATTTTGGGTATTTTGTTTAGCTAGAAATTAAAGGTTAAAAGAATCACGAATTACTACAAATTCATTTTGTTAATTTTTTAACCTAAATATTATTAAAGCATAACGAAAAACTACACGAGCATTTGTGTAACAACCTGGCAATGAATATTAGGTAATCAAGAAACAAATAAGGCCAATAAAAATATAAAAAAATTTTACATACATATGTATGTATGTTTGTAGGTCACTTATCGTTCCAGTGCTGATATCATACATACACCAACAACATGTATGGCGCATGGATCCGATGAGGCGGGCCTTGCAGGGTTCAACAGAAAAGATTCTGGATGGAAATCCTCCAGCTCTGTATGTATTCCACGAGGAAGTCGCTGGTAGTAGCAGAGGAGGGCCTAATCTGCGCTAGGAATGCCAGGTGGAGAAGGACTTAGATTCACCTGGCAATTCTAATTGGCTTCAGTTGTCACAGAAGAGAAACTACTGGCACATATGTTAATAACTACATGCTTATGTACATACATATGTTTATGAAATTAAATTCGGCCGGTAGACAGCTTCGTTCAGCTATCCACTTGTCACATGCTGCCGTGCGACTCTAATTATATTATTTACGAACATAAGCTCGCCTCTGATTCAGAACAGAACATCGGAAGTGATTTTNGACAGCTTCGTTCAGCTATCCACTTGTCACATGCTGCCGTGCGACTCTAATTATATTATTTACGAACATAAGCTCGCCTCTGATTCAGAACAGAACATCGGAAGTGATTTTTTTTATTGATATGCTTGAAACAAATTGAATCGGAGCACGGAATGCATACGTATGTATGTACATTAGGATGCATCACCAAAAAAGTTGCGGGCATTCCACCAATATTATAAAACCTGTTACATAGATTTGAAAACCTTCGCCAAAATATTTCCAATAAATATTAAGATTTACTCGAGCTGTGCCGATTTGATAATACTTCCAAAGGTGGAGTTTTTTTTATTAATACAATGATTTAAAAGAAAATATTATTTCCAGAAGGTAGCTTCAGATGGTATAAGAGTTTAAGACTAAAAGATTTGCATAAAAGTCTTTGAACATTTTATCAACGGTTTTATAATATTTTTTTTTCGAAATTTTTTGTTGGTAGAAGTCTTAAAATATACTGCACTACATATATGAGGGATTTACAATGGTGTAGTAAGTGTCGTATTGCTGTATGTCGTAAACTTTAAAAGCTTAAATAAGTGGTTAGAGAACTTGAAACCACAACCAACTATTTTTTAACACTACGAAAATTCATAATATGACTTTGATGGTACTTTGCGAATCCCCTTAATATATTGTTTAGGCGTTTAAAGTTTACGACATACAACAATACGACACTTACGACACCATTGTGAATACCGCAATAATATAATACAATTCCAATGGAAAAACAGTTCCAATTTTTTTTTTTTTGTATTGAGAGTGATGCAACCTAATGTACATACAACTTAGTTTATTAGATGACAACAGTTCAGTTACTGGTTGCACGTATATAAATTTTTATTATCCGCAAGGGGTATAACATAAAAGACCCGCAAAAATTGACTAAGTGTAAACAAACGGATGATAAATTTTTCATCCATCATTATCAAGAAGAAGGAGGAGGGGACTCTCTATGCTAGGCAGGCTATTTTTTGGTAATTTGGAGGGGCTTGTAGATATTGAAATGTATACCAGGATACGACTCTAAGCTATACTCTTAATCCGCAATACAAAAATACAAAACACACGAAACACACAATACACTCAAGAAACTATCGGCCAGATATAGTAAAAATGCGTTTTTGGTTTTTCTCTCTGAGAAAATTCCGTAGAACTAAAAAAAAAAATAGTTTCTTGGTTTACAAGGACGAACAATTATTGAAAATGTGATTTTACTATTATTTATCTTATTTTATTTAACACCTTTTTTTTAATCTAATAAAATTAGAGTGAAATTGGGAGATGTGGTTGTGTGTATATTAGTTCTTAACATAAAATTTTATCAAAAATATGCATGGAAAATTTTTAAGGACACTCAAGGATAAAATTTAAAAAAGGACATTTTCATTACTTATTCGTGCATTTTTAATTCTAAAGAATTTTCTATTTTATTTGATATCTATGTTATTCTACAACTCAGTGCGAGTTTTTCTAATAATTTTTTGTATTGTATTTTGTATTTTTTGTATACGTCACTGAGAAAATCTAAAAACGTAGTAGTTTTACTATTTTTGGCCCCAGTTTCGCGAGTAGTTGGATTTTTGTGTATGTAAAATTTGTTGTCGCACAGTGTAAGAAGCCAATTAGATTTGAACAGAGCATTGTCCTTATAAATTCTTCGAATGTTTACCACAAAATCCACAGTCCACACGCAGATGGCGCCTCATAATGGTTTTAATGCGCATATGTATTAACATAAGCACTAATGTCCATATACATACATATATATAGGTACAAGCATATACATACACAGTGACTCAAACAAATGACCACGTGTTGATTTTTTTTTTAATATTCGTAATGTTTTTCGGGCTAATTTTTTATTTTATTTTTCTATAAAAATACCGTCCAAGCTTTAACCAAGACTATATAAATCACAGTTTCAAACTTTCTACGAAATTGAGGAAAATTCAACAAATTTTATTTTATTATTCCGACGACAACTGCACGTTCTGAAATGTATTGGTCTCATCATATAAAAATATCAAGAAACATTACGAGTGTAAACCCAAATTTTTAAGCAATTAGAAATTTAAAATTAACAAGCATTTTGCCGATACATAAGTATTGAATTGTTAAGGTTAAAAAAATGCTATGTGATATATTTCCATAACTGTAATTTAGCTAAAATAATATAAAAAATATCTAATAGCGAAACCATGGCTAAGCTCAAAAAATAACAGCTGTGTAATGTAGCTATAAAATAGCTAAAGTTATAACACTGCCGGTCATTTCGGTTATGCGCACTGTGATAGCGCCACAAAATTAACTACTTTACTTATTTATTTATATTTTGTTTTCAGCGTAAACCTAAGAAAAAAAATATTTCCAAAGCCAATTTTCGGTCGCTGAACATGAAAACAATACCCTTTTTTATCAAAGAAGTGTTCTCATTTACATTATTTATCCGATTTTCATGATCTTATGCCGAATTTCCACTAGGCATTGAAATGACAAAAAGTTAATGCCATTTAAAAAATGTTAGTTGGAAACAGAGAAAATCACTCTTTTTATGCACGCAATGGCTTGGGTATTTTTTAATGCCCAACATTGTCAATAAAAATTTAGTCATTTAATGCCTCGTGGAAATCCAACATTAGGCTGAAAATTTACTGTAATGATTTATTGTTAAAAAAAATTGATTTTCATTCAGTTTTCGTGTAAACTAGTGTAATATTTATGATGGCGAGCCGAAATCAAAAGGCGGCCTTTTTCTAGCTGAATACAAATTTAAATTTTCATCGTAGTTTTTTGTTTTGTTTTAAGAGCCTGGTATCGTTTTTTATACGATTAGAAACTACTTATGTATGTATGTATGTATGTATGTATGTATGTATGTACCTACTTACTTCTTAAAACGACTTGTTGAGAACCGATGCCAAAATAAAAGTTTCGCGCGTAACGTTTTAATAAAAATACATAAACAGTTACATATGTATGTATGTATGTATGTGCAGCTACATTGCTTTGCAGTTTATGAGTTAAATAGTGAATAATGAAGCTAGGCTCCTTAAACAATAAACAATGCAAGTGTATGTATATTAGTTAGTACGCTCACAAAGCTTTAGACAATCTCAAGTGGCAAAGCTTCTCAGCCATTTCAAACAAAAACGCCGCACAGAGCCTAGCTCGCGACGCAGCTTCAAGCGTGAGCGTGGTGTTGTGAATGCGCGTGACATTCATCGTTGTAGTTGTAGTGTTTATTTGGCAAAAAAGCTGTGTGGCCGGCCCTTCGTAGATATTTTTCTCAGACAAAATGAACATCAGCGCAACAGCACTACTATTATCGATCACCGTTGTTGTAAGTGATCGATATACGAAGCAAAATGTGGCTGTTGATGCTACAAGTAGTATACGCGTATACGTGCTGCGCTCAGCGGTCGCTCGGTCCAATAAAAAGCGAGCAGGCTCATAGGCAAATGCTCAAATGTTGTTCGGACGTCTGTGGCAACAATTCGTTTAACTTTGAAAATAGCGCAAAAGTGCGCGAGACTGATGAAAATAAAATTCTAAGGATATTCTTTAATCCAGTGCAGTCAGTGTGTGTTATGAAAGGATAAATAGTAAACTAAAAAAAAAATGCTCAAAGTGAATACACAAACAAAGCGGTTTATAGATACAATTTATATTTAGAAAGTGAATATTTTAATTAAATAAATATACAAAGTATAATTTTGTATGCGGTAGCTGTAAGGATATTCCGGTTGTGAAGTGCTCAAAGGTGCTACGTTAATGAAATACAAAAACAATCGCGGCACGATACTGCAGTTACAGTTTAGAACTTTTCTTATACGAAAAATCTCGTGGAATTTCCGGTGATTGAAAATTATCTAAAGGTAAGGCAAATGACTTTCTATAAAAAAAATTAATATCCCTCAGTTTCTTGCCAAAGCGTTTGTTCTTGAGCAATTCCAAATTTAAGTATTTGCAATTTTATGTCACTTTTCTAGACTACATATTTATAAAATGTATCGGAAAAAATGTCAATAAAATTCGTTCTATACAAATTTAATAAAATTAACAGTTATTTGCTTAAAAGCGTGAACATTCGGAAAAAGACTTTTATTAGCAAAGCAAATTACAAATGCGAAAAATGATAATTTCTGTTTGCATGGAAATGAGCCATAAAAACATATGTATGTATGTATGTATGCAAATACATGCTTGTTTAAACAATTACAAAGCTGTTCACTACGCGTGACCGTAAACATGTGTTTACAATTTAAATATACATTATCATTTATTATATCTAAACTGCATTGAGTAAACAACTTGTTGACATATTTTCAAAAAAGCTCCAGAGATATGTATGTAAATAGCTTGGCGCGCGAGAGTTAATGCAAGTTACGAGTTTTAGGTGGACTTTTTACCTAATATGTAAATCCTTACAATGCTCCTTTGGAACTAATTTTCAAATATTTAAATAATTTTCTCAATATTGAGCACGAGTATTATTCTCAAAATACAAAAAAGTTGTTGCACATTTAATTTTTTGCCGAATATAAGAAACACTTTTTTATTTGATTTATTTTTTAATCTGTTTTTGTATTAAATGAAAGGAATTTTAACTCCAAAAATTTTCCCATTTCGTGGGAAAACTTTTCTAACTCAGACATGATTATGTTTATATCTAAAAGTTTTTCACGTCGCTGGATCCAAATCCGAGGTCGGTTTTTCTCCGTTTAAGCCGTGTAAGATTTTACTTCCAAAGAGCTTTGCATACAGGTTCACTGTATTCGTTAAACATTTCATCGAAAAACTTATTGAAAATCACATCGAAAAACATGAGTGAAATCGGAAGTACACCGCAAGGGTGATTTGTGTTCCAATATACAGATATACACATATCAGGTAATCAATGGCTAGGATTGGCACGTACCTTACTGCCACAATTACAGGCTTTCATCCTCCGAATAATGGCTTAAAACCTACTTTGTCGAACTGACATACAGAAGATGGAGCAGAGAACTCGATAAGGATAGGTCCAGCGCCCTCATTTCATCGAACGTACTCCACGGGAACCATCCTCGGGAACCTCCTTATGTTTCCATCTAAATATGGATATTATTTCTGTACTTATAGAATTGGCACATCAATAAAAGTTTACACTGGTGCCTTTGGATTTTTGCACACATAAATAGTTGGCAAAGAGTCATAATTTTGGCCAATTAGCGCCCTGCTAACTCTTAATGAATCAAAACGCAAACACAAAATTATTGAGTTTCACAGCATGGACTATTAAAATGTAACACTTTTATTTTCGCTGTGTATTTTCCTACATATAAGCCGTTTATTTTGAAAGTGACATAAGTCACCTTTTTAAAAAATCGAGTTAATGATAAAAACAATTAGAATTTAACGGTATATGTTAATTAAAAAAAAAAAATGCATTGAAATGTTTAGAACTACTGAGGTTTTGTTCGAGATAAGTTTTACTAGTCAGCGGTATAAAGAAAACGTTTAGTAAAACAGCATTCTTAGTATCTTTTTCTGGCGCTAAAATTTTTTTAAAAGGACTTTGAAATTTCAACGATTTGATTAGTTCCAAAAATTATAAAAAAAAATTCAGTGGTAAAATAACCATATGGGTACCAAATAAAAGACTAAATTCTGTAGAATTGAAAAATATTAAACTTTTTGGTTTATAATTTTGTTCGTGACTATCCTTGAAAATTTGCAGTATTTCTTAAAAAAAAAAAAACTATAGGTTATGGTTTAATAAACACACGACCATGTCCTCGAATTCCGTTCTCTTCTTCTCTTTTAATACATAGCGTATAAGTTACTCAGTCGACTTGAGCATGTTAGTCATACATCGAGTACGTACGTACGATATTAACTTTCCCGTGATAAATGATAGATCGAAGATGGATCCGAAATTTTGAATTTTATAATCTGATTCCAGATTCGTAATCAGCGACCCCCGACTGTAAAGTTTTAAGCGAATCTAAATGATTTTAATTTTTTTGAGCGCCATATTGGGTCAGCCATTTTGAATTTTGCAAATCGGACTTCAGATTCGTAATCAGCGACCCGAAAACCCCTCGACTAACAAGTCTCAAGCGAATACAAGAAAGTTTTAAAAATACGTCCGCCATTTTGAAATTTGAAAATCGGACTTTAGATTCGTAATCAGCGGTCCGAAAAATGTTAAAATATGTCATGACCCAAAATTTTTGCATCACTTTAGTGAAGAAATTAATAAATATATTTGTTTAATTTATTCATCAATTTTAGTAAATCACTGTCCTTTCAAAGCATCACTTCAGTAAAATACATTGGACTATTTATTTATTTATTTTGAAAGTGGCATAAGTCACTTTACCGTAATGAAAAATGGTGACTTTTCGATGACTATACTGAGAAAAATATAGATAGCCTAAAAATCAAATACAAGTAAATCTTATCGAAAGTTAGCATCAGTACTTTTAAACGTGCTAAAACGCAAACCCTTAGATATATCGATTTAAAAACAAAGGGACTTATGCCACTTTCAAAATAAAGTGCTCATATGTAGGTTTATTTAAGTACATACTTAGGCTGTCGAAAGGAATAATAATAATAGGAATAATAGTTTATTGAGCACTCTAACTCTAACCTGATATCCTACAGAAAAATTAAATTATAGCTTAAATAGACAGTCGTAAACCACTATGAACGTACTCTATGCCATCTCAAAATAAACAAATGCTTAAAATTCAGACATACTTTCAGTTCGGTTAAAGTAAAAAAAAAAAGTAACTTAAATGTAGACAATTAATTCATTTTTTTCTGTATTCCGTTTATGCCTTCTTAATTGCCCTTACGAGCAGCGAATACCAATTGTTTTAGATGCAAATTAATAAATAAGAAATGTGTAAGCCAGGGCCGGCGAACCTTTATGCATATATGTACGTGCCATCATTTCCAAAGAAATATTCAGTGTAGCCATGATGTGCCAACAAGAAATCATAAGTGATGATACGGTACTTGGAGAAATTAGTAGACACATAAATCGTACAAAAAATTTTAAAAGAACTACGTGGTGAGGACTTACATGCATAGGTAGAGAAAAATATTGTCTGGAATTGAATGCGAAGTGTAATATTAGCATTTTTGGTCCAATTCTTTTGATTCCAACTCTTCCCTTCTTTCGATAAGGTTTTTAGTCCATATTGAATTACACTGTAACTCAATCAGCTGCATTTCAAAATCTTCGATTTCCAACCAATCAAATTTAGCATCAGGATACATAATAAATTTTAGTGTTTCCGATAACTCCTCGAATTCATAAAACCTCGATGAAAATTCTTCGATGACAGAATTTATTAGATACCAAAGAAAACTTTACCGTGCCTTTTGCGCTTTCTAGTTTTTTATGTTAGTCCAAATCGGATTTAAATTTTTTTTTAAATTTGGGAAACATTGGTAATTTTCGGAAACAAAATCTTTACCAAAAAATTTCAAAGGCCCAAAGGAGATCTATTTATTATGATTATAACAGTTTCATTAGCGCTTGCAAACTTTACCTTCAAATTCAATAATTGCTGGCACATATCTATAAAAACCACGTATAAGCTTCAAACCTTCGTTTGTTTAGTGCCTGCGAAGATATGGGGTTTACTATTTTTGTGACTGGAACTCAAGAATCGAATGTCTTTTGTGTGCGTTTTATTGCTTAGTGTTTGTATTTTTGGTACTTCTAGGCTGTATTGTTGGGTATGAATAGATCTTGGTTTGGTCTCCAATTTAAACCAGAAAATAAACTATTTCGATTAGGTAGTAACTAACACTAGTAATTGAGGTATTGGGTCCTCACTTAATACCGTGCCCAAATTATTTTGTTGCGTGCCACCAATGGCACGCGTGCCTTTGGTGCGCCAGCCCTGGTGTAAGCAATTCATTTGCGCATATCGCTGTTAACGCCACACAATTAATAAGTGTATGTAACAGATGCGCAGGCGTCTCTGGAAACTTAACGCTTAAATTACAATTACAACAACATTACGCTAATCAAGCATCTTTGGTGATAAAAACACCCACAGCAATTAAATCTTTATTTCGCTGCCCATAAAGTGCTTCTCTCACTCTTTCAAGACGCACACCAATACGATTACACCACTTGCACGTTCTCATTACGGCTGGCGCCCTTCGTCTGCCTTTGGTCTAATTGAATCGATCGAGGTTTGATCGAGCATAGCCCAGTTTGTTTTGTCACCACTGCCTTGAAGGGGACAGAGGGAGAGAGAGAGGGAGATGGGGTATCACTTGTGGATGCTATTTTGCTTGGCGTCTTTGAGGGGATGTCGGAGGAGGATTCCTCTTTTTATGTGTGAGTGAGTCTGTGTCCGATGGCAATTGTTGTAGTTTTAAAATTTCTTGTTTTAACCGGCTAGCGCCGGTGTGTCTGCCAGTATCCGGATGTTAACTAGATAAATTCGCTTAAATCTTAACATGAGCAGTTAAATATTTATGCGCCAGAGGCAGAGGGGGACATATTACAACTGGAAATGGACTGAGGTGCTTACAATTACAATTTGTGAAATGAATTCTACTGGTTTAACGGCCACGTACATATGCTCGTACATGCTCGTTCAGACTTGCTAGCAATCGCTTGTGGGCAGGCAATGCACGTACAATAAATAAATATGTCATCGTTCGTAAAACGCTTATCGAAGATGTAATGGAAATCTTCATGCTTGATGATGCGCTTAGATGCGCACCATATCATGGTAATTAGGCAATCAGTTTTATTATTGATTTTTGTTTTCACTAATTTCGATATCGCCCGCTTAGAGTCGAAAACTGCCAAGTCCACTTTTTACGAAAATTAAATTTTTCATGTAAGAGGCAAGAAAAACTAAAAATGCAACGTTTCCAAAAAAAAAAGGAGATGTGGTGATCTCCGAAATAGCTGCTATAACTTCTATTGCTTAGACTTTGTTGCTTTTTCAATTTTTCCCAATAAACAATCGTGATACAAAGCTCAATAAAAATATTAAAAATACTTTTAATAGGGTTACCACCTATTTTGAATCGCATATTTGTTAAATTTTTTGTTTCGAAAAAAAAGGTAAAATATTACTAGTAATGGGTACCAAGAGAAGGTTCATAAACAATGCTTTCCCTATATACAAAATGTTATCGCTTAGGATAATAGTGTAAGGTTGCCACTTATTTTCGATTCTACACCATTTATCTAAAACATCGCAATATGGATATCAAATGAAAGGTATTGTTGAGAGCTTTGGTCTGTGTAATACAAATTTTTATTTTGTTAATTTCAATCAACATTTCTTTTATGCATTATATACGCTCAAGATATGTACTATTGATTCCAGCGTATTTCGGAATAGTTTTGCCACCTAAATTTTAAAGTAAGCAATTTACTTAATAGATATCGAAATGCTATTTTTTTTGGTTTATTTCCAAAATATTTTTTTAAAGCTACCCAAATCTTGAAAACTTTAAAAAGTACATATATGCACTCCGGGCAAAGCTCGGTCAATTTGGTACTGTATTTTAAACGCTACTCTTTTATTGAAAAATGTAACTAATTTTTTGTTGTTGTTTTGAAGCTCCATTAGGGTTTTGGTGAGTAATCTCTCGAGTTTCGTACAAATTAAGTGATTTTGGTATATAAAAAAATGCAAAAATGTTTAATTTTTAATGATGTTTATTTTATTTAGTACTGGAATTAAAAAAATTTGAACTTATTTCATAAAAAATGATTCTGCTTCTTTTTCCGGTTAGCAGTCTGTTTTTAATGGGTCGTAAATCTAACCTGCGCCAATAAATAATTGCACGGTCGAGGCGACAAATATCTGTGCGTGAAATTTTACAATATTTTAAATTCTTTTCGATTGACGCTGTTTAGAGGGCTTTCAGTCATATTTTTTTATTTTATTACAGAGCAAACAAAGTAATCTTTTTGAGGATTGCATCGCGGCAAAAAATGTAGGCTGTATCTTTCTGACTTTCACCTCTACTTGAAGAATCAGGGATCGTGGCAAGTCCGTTTTATTTCTAAAGCTTTTTCCAAAGAATTCTTCATTCTCTTCTATCAAAGTTTAATGACTCTTGAGCAATTTGGTTACACAAATACTACTATGTGCGGCGCCCGGGTAACACGACCTAACGTCGTATATCTACGGGAAAAAAATATTGGCTAAAATTTGTCAATTTGTTTGCCAGATATACATATGCACGTATTATCGGTGAACTTGCACAACATGGGCATTCGCAAAAGTTCCGCATTGATTTTTGCGAATGCGAATATTATAATTAATGCGGAAGCTTCGTGGTTGCGAATGCAAATGCGAATATTCGCAATCCGGAAAAACTCGAAACCCAAAAGAATATAAATTTCATACCGATTTTGGTATGTAAAAAAAATTTCAAGGTTTTATACATAGTATTTTTTTAAGGTATCCGTTTACTATAAGGTAGCTACATTGACAATTTCTCATAGAAATTCGTGAATAATGCAAATGAAATAAAAATGCTGTAGAATATACTCTTACCCTGTCGGAAACACCGACAACGAAAATGAGAAATTTAAATGGTCGTCGTTAATTGAAAGACACACTTTACACATTGTCAATATTGGAAATTTCGACATTGAACTTGACGATGGTATTTAAAGAATTTTCTAACCAAATTTAATTGAAAAATTTCAGTGCATTGTATCAATCGTGCACTCCTACGTATGGCACTCTGTTGATCTTGTTCATCAATTTTTAATTGCAGGTTGTTAATTAATTTGTAAACTCATCGACTCATTGCAACGGAGATGTAAATAACTCGCCCCCGCCAATTAGTGAAATTCATTGCATTGAAAACGAACGAAAGAGTTTCCAATTAAGCGATCGACAACATTACGAGAATCAATTATCACTTACCTTAGCTCAGCGCACAAAAAAGTTCCTAAAAAGCAGAACCGAAAGTATTTCTACAGAAAGTATTTCTACAACCTCAACTAAAATGTCTCCACCAATGGCTACCCAGCTGAAATTGTTATTCCTTTGCGCTTTGGCGCACACCTCCAATGCGCTGGCAGTACCAGCAGATCTTAATGCCAAAACGTATCAGCAAGCAGCTGCAACAAGCTCACCGCCAACAACAAACAAGCTGCTGAAACAAACGCCACCCTATTTGCTGGTACGCGGCGATTCGACATTTGCTCCCATGGATGCCGCCGCGCCTCCTTTGCTGGATGCCATCGATTCGGCTGAGAGACGCAGCTTCGATATGGCTGCGGAAATTTTGAAGCGAATGTATAGTGAGCATTTGAGCGCCACTCTCGGCGGCGGCGGTGGCGGCAGCGATGCGCCTATAGAGATGGAGGAATGCAGCAATCCATCGCATAAAGCTGCCTTCTCCGCTTATGATTATACGATACTGCTCTCCATGCTGATCATATCGCTGGGCATTGGCGTATTTTACGGCTTCTTCCACAAGTCGGGCGGCTCTTCGGAGGATTTCCTACTGGGTTCGGGTATGTCCATATTTCCGGTAACACTCAGTTTGACGACAAGCTTCATAACGGCTATCGAATTGTTGGGAAATCCATCGGAGATGTACCTACAGGGTACACAATTCGTGCTGATTGGTGAGTGTAGTGGGCGATTTGAGTAATAAATATCTAATTGCGATTACTAACATTTTTCTTATCATTGCAGTGATTCCGATGATTTTGGTCATACCGGTCGCCGTTAAAATATTCTACCCGATTTACTTCAAAATGGAGCTGACGAGTTGTTACGAGTATCTCGGCATACGCTTCGGTCGGGAAATACGCATCCTTGGCGCTGTTTTGTATGTCATACAGGTAAAGGCTAAGTTCTGCAAAAATTAAGAAGTTTTATAAAGCGAACAAATTTGATTCTGTTTTCTTGATGTACAAATAGTTTAGCAGCATACACTATATATATTTTTCTTTTTGCTTTGCTCTCCACAGATGTGCTTCTATACCGCAGTGGCTGTCTTGGCGCCCGCAATCGCACTCTCCAAAGCCACGGGCTTAAATACCAAAGTTGCAGTGATTCTTATTTATTTAGTTTGCGTTTTCTACTCCTCTCAAGGCGGCATGAAAGCTGTAGTTATTGCCGATACCTTCCAAGTAAGTCGCAGTCTTGTTGCATTAAGTTTACGCAATTCTAAAATGATGACTCATTTTAGGCTGCAGTTCTGGCCTTATCCCTGGTGCTGGTCGTTGCGCTGGGCAGTTATTACAGCGGTAACGCTGTAGAGATCTTCAACACGGCTGCTGACCGTCATCGGCTGGAGTTCTTCAAGTAAGTCGTTGCCGATCCCGGTGCACATAATTTCTTTTTAAAACCCCTTTTCTTTCCCCACAGTTTTGACCTAGATCCCACCACGCGTCACACAGTGTGGTCCGTGGTAATCGGTGGATTCTTCTACTGGACTTCATTGTTCTGCACCAACCAGGCATCAGTGCAGAAGTGCATGTCCCTGAAATCACTGAAGTTGGCCAAAGTTGCCTTGGGATTCGCCATACTCGGACTGGTCGTGGTGTTTCTCATGAATTTCTATACGGGTCTGATGATCTTCAACCACTATGCCGATTGCGACCCACTCACAGCTGGACGCATTACCGCCTCCGACCAACTATTGCCCTTTTACATAATGAGCACCTACGAACATGTCTACACCATCGCTGGCATTTTCGTGGCGGGCATTTTTGCTGCCAGCTTGGGCACGGTGGCATCGGCGCTGAACTCCTTGTCTGCTGTAACTTGCGAGGATTTGCTTGTGAATGGCATGAACATCAAAATAACGCCAGATAAGGGTGCACTCTATGCCAAGTGGATGTCGTTGGGCTACGGCATTATCTCCTTTGGCTTGGTGTTCATTGTGGAGAAGTTAGGCGGTGTGCTGCAAGCGACATTGACCTTGAATGGCCTAATTGGCGGCGTGACATTAGGGCTTTTCGTGCTAGGTATCGCCTTTAAGAGAGCCAACGCTAAAGGCGCCTTTTATGGAGGCTTACTATCGCTAGCCATTGTAATTTTTATCGGCGTAATGGCGCAAATTGTGAACGTAGATCCGGTTGAGTTGCCGTTATCGGTGGATAACTGTAATTGCAAGCACAATGTGACGACTGCAATTTTGCCCGCAACGCTTGTAACACAAACCGATACTGGTTTCAGGTAAATAAAATGTTTAGCACTGAATAGAATAGAATTTTTATTTATACTCGCATTTATTTTATTCATTAGCTCGTGGTCAATCTTCAAGCTGAGCTATATGTGGTACTCCATGATTGGTGCCGTGCTCACACTATTTTTGGGTCTAGTCATTTCGCTGATTGTTGCTGCCGTGCAGCGACATAATGTGCTCAAGATAAGCTCTGCGTACGAGGAGAATGAGCAAAGTAAACCAGAAGTGCTGCCGCAGTTCAGCACTGAGATCAACGTGGTCACTACTTCAGAGCCATCGTCCATGGAAAAGTCTGAAGGCCATGTGAATCATGCCATACGATTGGATGATGAATGAGTTGAGGGAGTGCATGAAATTTGCATGAAAGCAAAATGGAGGCTTACGAAAAAAAAGGCAAAGGACGATAAAGTTAGACGATAGACGTTTGAGCAACAAGTGTTTCTTTTTGGCAAATGCGAATTGCTCCATCACAAAATGTACAAATTCAATCAAATTAGACTTCGAACGTTGAAACTAAGTACTTGTTATTAATTGATAATAATTATATATTTTTTTTAATTGTTTACTATACCTGTATACATACATACATACATACATATCTGTATGTATATTAAAACTATTCCAGTCATTAACTTAATTTTTAAGTCTATAGTAAATATATTTACATGTACGTAAGCGAGTGCGTAATTTAGTTGTATGTCATTGGCTTTGTTTCTTTTCTTTTCTAGCAGATAATTATCAGCAAGAAGAAGAATGAGAAAATTGAAAGAATTACGCTCACAGAGAGCGAAATAACGAAAAAGTAAAGAAACGCAAAACTAGCAGAAACTAGCAAGTAATCAGCTGGTCGGTGTATTTGACAATTGAAAATATTTGGCGCGAATTTTTGTTTATCCATTTTGACAGCTGCTAGTTTCTGCTAGTAAAAATTTAACTAGCAGAAATTAGCAGCAGAGCCAAAAATAGAAGAGCGTAAGAACGAGAGAGAGCAGCTAGTTTCTGCTAGTTTTTGGGTTAAGAAACGCTTTCCAGCAGAAATTAGTGATAATTTGTGATAATTATCTGTTAAGAAACAAAGCTATTGTATAAATACGATCAAAGACGAGAGTAATTAAGACGAAAGTGATAAGTTTAAACGAAAAATGCACAAAAAAATGGGCAAAAGTACAAAAGAGGACCGAATAAAGAAATATTTATATATTTTGTATTTAGACGAAAAAGTAGTATCTATGTAAATATGTATTTGTGTTTATTTTGTAGCTTATTATTAAAATCAATGAAATAAAAGATGTCAATTGTGCAACTTTGACAAATATTTGTTATGATTGTAATTTATTATTACTTAATTCTCACTCAAAAAGATATCATGCAAATTGTAAACAACCCGCCAAACGTAGTGTATGTATTTAGACATGTACGAGTGTATTTACATACATATGCACCTACTCCTTCCCTGTGGGAAAATCTCTAGTTTTGAACTGGTGCATTTCTAGTACAGTTCGCGATAAATCTCTTTTGCATGCAAACAATTGGCGAATTTAAAACACAGCGATGTCATAGGAATTTGAAATTGTCCCCCGCTGCATTACCTTTTCTATAGTTCAGAACCAGTCCTAAATTCGACATATGGGATCTAGTTCGCTTTGCACCCGTTTGCATTCGTTCTGCATCCCTTTTTCTATAGTTTTGAACCAGTTCTAAATTCGTCATTTTAGATATAGATTTCTAAAATTGTTTTTTAAAAGTACCACCTATCGCTGCTTTTGAACTGATGGCGATCTAGTTACTATCGAACTGGTTCGTTTTTGGCGATAAAGATCTAGTACGGAACTATAAATTTGGTTCACCAGTTCGGAGTTTCCCTACAGGGCATATGTCTGCATGTGTGCGATGTAATCCGGTTAAGTATTTGCTAAAGTTTTTTATTAAACAAATTAAAATTAAATTAAAATCATCGATAACAAATTTTTGAGTGCCGTCGCATTTTTATCAACAAATGTGTATACATACATATGTACGTACATTTTATTAATAGTTTTTTATATGAATAAGTCTAGCAAATTAAATTATTGTACAAACGAAAATACATTACAATGCAACAACACAATAGAAACACTTATATAGGTCTTTTTTTAAGCGGTACGTGCGTTCCTCAGAAAGCCGCATAAAAAAAATCCGGGTAAAAAAGTTCTTTACTTTCAAACAAAAACAGGGGATGCGTTCCACGATTTTAAAAAACCGCATAAATTCAGATACTCCATGTAGAAAATTCTAAAAAAAACGCATAAAAAATCCAGTGAGGCCTTTATAAAAAAAAAAAAATTTATTTTTTCACTTCAACAGTTATTATTCCATTTAGAACTGAACATTAATGAAATAAATAAAATTTTATTTGTATTTTAACCAAAAACAAAAAAAAAATACCACAATAAATACATGAATTATCTAAGAATACAAAGACAAATTATTTATCAAAAGCATTGTCTCTTACACACTGAAAAAAAAGTAATAAAAACTCTCAAAAAACAAAATTGCTACAGTGAAGAAACGGTTTGAAAAACCGCATAAATTTAAATCAGCATTAAAAAGAAACCGCATAAAAAGAGACCTAAGTGTACTCTGTACTCACTTCAATGCGCTTTAATGCATGCTAAACATGCGAGTTCTATTTTTAAACAACTTCCGTGTAATGCCATTGTTTTTAAAATAGTAAATAATCATTGAAATATACTAAAAGATAAATCTAAAAAAAAAAAAATTGTAATAAAATTATGAAGTTGCATCATTGATATTAGCCAGAAGTAAACATTGTTAATGTCATGACGAAATTCAAGCTAACTTAGATATTAGCAAGAGGGATAGTATATCAAGCAGCGACATGCTAGAAATATTCTTGAGTACCCATTTTCCAGGGTGCATCTATACAACTCACTTACTGCTCACCCAATGCTCTGCTTGGCATATTGTTTATTACGGAAAGGTTTAATAGACTATTAAATCTATGGTCGACCTACTTATGTCCACCACTCACTAACATTTTACCGGCATATCTTAACCTTTACCACATTCCTAGAGAATGGACCAAGGCTAAGTAAGATAATCTGTGCATAATTATGTATGTATGTACAGTATATTTTGCTTTGCTGCCTCTNATACCTGCCTTAAAAATTGTGCGACTAGTATCAATTATCAATGAAAGTATTACGTTTACCTGCACTGGCCCTACAATTACCTAATTTTACAACCTTTTATTTATTTTGCTCATCTCGCAGAACAACGAAAATGGCTATCAATTTATGTAGTTATATAGATAATTTGATAACATTCGGTAAAAATTTCGCTTGCAGTAATTTCTACATGGTAAGTGCTCCGCCAATATTTGGTTTCATAGGGATTCGGATACCTTCCTCATTGAAGTAGTAAAGAAAATTCGCTTAAGTGCCTTTTTCGGTTACGTGCACAAGTTTTTCGTGCAAAGAAGGATGTGCAGCTAAGCAAAATATACTGTAAATATATCTAAAGGCGACACATGTCGAACGCAATGATTTCAGCCTAAAAGGCTTTAATTTTACAACGCTTTTATCAACTTGCAATGTTGTGCGTCCAGAAACTTTCAATGTTGTGGATCCAGAAACTTTCAATGTTGTGGATCCAGAAACTTTCAATGTTGTGTGTCCGACACAAAAGCAAAGCTTTGAAAAGTTCCTATAAAAAAGCATAGTGCATAGGGCGACAGCTGTAGTGAATAGGGCGAGGTAGATGACATCTAGATGTCGCCCTATGTACTACGTTTGCTACAGCGGAAATAGATGACACGCCAT